ATGAACTGTTCACCCAAAACAAAATGACTTGTTTAAAATTGGAAAAAAAAACTCCCTCCAAACCCTAAAATATTTAGTTGGCACTGTAGTTTTATGGTCATGACAGTCTTTGAAAAATAGTTTAAAATGTGACTAAATGATGAAAGGAAAGAATCTACATGGGATCTTTTGATCCTACTGGAAAAAAATGCTCATATATTTTGTTTATATTAACCCCCATGTTCCTTTTACATGTAGAGAGTCTGACAAAGAGAAGACTAAAGATAAGGTAGCAGCTGGAAGTCATAGGTGATAACTCTGTTGGAAACTGCAAATGGACAGCCAAAAACTCATTGACTCTATGTTGGTGAGCATATGCCATCCCTCCTTTTGTAGAAAGCACAGGGTAGAAGTAGAAAAAAAAGGCCAGATAGGACACTCTGGCCCAGGGAGTAGGGCTGGACATATCCTAGTTCTTCCTAGATACTGGGGATCAGAGGTGCCCTGAGAGAAGGAAACAAGAACCAGTAACTTTGTGAGACAAAGAGGGGAATGAGCAGCACAGCTGCAGAATGAAAAGTCCTCCAAATGATCCCATTCAGAATTCCCCACACAAAAGTCCCCTCCTTAAGATGACTCTGCTGGCTGAGCCATTTCCCATCCAGGAAAGACAGGCAGTGCAATCACCTTCAACCCAACCCTGTTCTTTCCAGGGGAAGAGAGGGATTTCAAGCAGCTGAGACCATCAGAGAACCATACCCACTTGGATTAAAGAGATCAAACGATGTGTTACCAGATTATGCTCCTGCTATAACAACAACAGTGTAAAAATGATTAATGGCTACTTTATTATTCTGTAATATTAAAGTTTATTATAATTGCAAACCTGTAAATAAAAAAATATTAATTTTCCTGCTCCTTCTGTTGTATTTTCTATTTTATTTGTCATACTGTAACTGTCTGCTTGCATACTCATAGGCCCTGATCCCGCAAACACTTACACACCTACATAAGTTTACTTAGAGCAAACTTGTGGCCTGTGATACTTGGGTAACATGCGGGTGATATAACGCTGTGGGGAAAGATTCAATAGGCTCAAAAGCAGAATTTTGAAAACATAGCGAAACGTTGTCATGCTTTGGTTAGGATGACATTTTGATGATATAGGATGAGACATAGGATGAGATGATATAGGATGCTGGCGCTGGACTGCTTGCCCCGCTCCTTGTAGCATTGTGAGGAAGCAGTGACAACGGCCACGTGCTGAGATCACCGCTGTGCCTCGCGTCAGTGCCGCACCGATACAAGCTGTAAGGGCCTGGCACCACGCGGGCACCTTGGAGTGAAACGGGGACTTGCGTGGTGGGGATACGGGCTCTTCTTGCTCCTGGGGAGTAACAGCATTGCCCCATGACCTGATTATCCGCGTGGGGCTGCCACGACCCTTTCACCCACCTGGTAAACTGATGCTGATGGCTCAATATTTATGTTCAGTATATATACAGGCCACCCCCGCTTAGCGCTCTTAATTGGCTCCTGAAAAACCAAGCGTTAAGCGAAACCGAAAGTATTTGATGACCCGAGATGGAGACTGCAATTGTTTTTAATGACCCAAGATGGTCCAATGGCCGTCACTAAAGTGTTTTTAATGACCCAAGCAGAACCACGAGCGTTACACCGAAAGTGAGATCAGGTATCAATGTAAAATCAGCGTTATAACAAAACGCCGTTAAGTGGGGGTGCCTGTCTGTTCACTATGCCCGTCGCTATTACAGCACATTGAGCATGCAGTTTCCGAGTGACGTCACCCCAGCGCTGTGCTGCAACATGATGTCACTGCTGGCATGATGATGTCACCTTTCTACCAACCAACCCGGGCTTCCACAGGAGAGTCCCAAACCGGTGGGGGCGGGGGAGGCTGGAATCCCTGAAATGGGATTTACATCCCAAATCTGAAACAAAGAAACAACAAAACCCGTCCCGACGCGCCCGCCCCGGCCAGGGTGACAATGGCACCTGGCAGTGACGTCACCGCGCAGCATGGCTGCCTCCAGACTAGGGTGGAGGGAGGGAGGCAGCGCGTGACGTCACGTGCGTCAGCACGCCGCGGGGGCGGGGCCGAGCCGAGAGAAGGTCGCTGGAGTGACCGGGATCTGCCGTCGGCGCCGCCATGTTGTCTGTGGCTGGCCGCTCCGGGCCGCTGGGCCCCTTCCTGTGCGCCGTGGCGCACGGCGTGCCCGGGCCGCTCAAGCAGCTGGTGCCGGGGGTGGTGGTGCCGGCGCTGTCGGA